CAGACCCCACCTTTGGGGTCTCCACCACCCACCACCCCACCTTTGGGGCCTCCACCACCCACCACCCCACCGCCGCCCCCCTCCCCCTATACGGCTCCCACTGACTTGCCGCCTGCGTGTCCCTCCTTCTCCGCCGCCGCCACGGCAGCCGCTCCCCCTCCTCCTCCTCCTCCTCCTCCTCCTCCTCCTCCTCCTCTGGGCCTCCCATACAGATACACGGCAGCCACCACCATGGCGGTGCCGGCCAGAAAAGCCCCTCGCGGTCTGAATCCGAAGAGCTGCGCCGACGCGGCGGTGGAGGCGACGATGGAGAGGGCGGTGGCGAATCCCTTCAGGATGTTATCGGCGTACCTCACCACCACGGCCACCAGCAGCCCCCCGGCCGCCTGGTTCACCACCACGGCCCACACGGCCGCCGTGTAACCGTGGAAGAAACCCACGGCGGCCACGGCGCGGCCTTCGGCGGCCATCATGGCGGCCAGCCCCACCAAGGTGCCCACGGCCCCCAGCTGGGCGTTGCGCACCCAGATGGACGTCCCCGAGCGCTTCAGCAGCCGCTCGAAGTAAACGCCGGCGAAGCCCGAAGACAGGCAGGAGGCGCCCACGGCCGCCAGGCCCGTCAGGTAGTTCTGGGGGGGGTCCTGGGGGGGGTCCGAGGACGGGGCGGGGGGCTGCGGCTGCTCCGTCTGCACCAACGCGACCCCCGCGAACAGCAGCGCCAGCGAGAACCACTGCAGGCGCGACAGCGACGTGCCCAGCAGCAGCACCGAGAACAGGGCTGTCGTCAGGATCTTCAGCTGGTAGGTCACCTGTGGGGAGATGTGTGGGGTCAGAGCTGCCGCTGGTACCAGATCTATAGGGGAAATGTGTGGGGTGAGGTGTGGGGTGATGGGGGTAACAGCGACGTGCCCAGCAGCAGCACCGAGAACAGCGCCGTCGTCAGGATCTTCAGCTGGTAGGTCACCTATAGGGGAAATGCATGGGGTCAGAGCTGCAGCTGGTACCAGATCTATAGGGGAAGGTGTGGGGTGAGGTGTGGGGTGAGGTGTGGGGTGATGGGGGTAACAGCGACGTGCCCAGCAGCAGCACCGAGAACAGCGCTGTCGTCAGGATCTTCAGCTGGTAGGTCACCTGTGGGGAGATGTGTGGGGTCAGAGCTGCCGCTGGAAGGAGATCTATAGGGGAAATGTGTGGGGTCAGAGTTTCAGCTGGTATGAGATCTATAGGGGAAATGTGTGGGGTCAGAGCTGCAGCTGGAAGGAGATCTATAGGGGAAATGTGTGGGGTGAGGTGTGGGGTGATGGGGGTA